AAAATCTAGTTCCTGCAAAGTTCTTATTTTTATGAAGAATAAAGTGATTTTGATGAGATATGACAATTCTAAGCTTACATTTGGTAAATCTTCCAGCTGGAACCACATGTGATTCGATAAAGGACCATCACAAATTTGAAAATCTGATGATTCTTAAATGGTGCCATTTTGGTGATACTTATCTTTAAAGTGCCTTTCAAACCCATTTCGGGTTTCAGAGGGTTAAGAGCCAGTTCCCTAAAATCCAGTGCCGCCTCTTGCTTGTTTGTGAATTTGCCCTAATTTTCGGACTTCTTTATTTATTCCCTCAAATGATACGTTGCACTAATAGTTCAGCCATGGTTTCCTGGCAGCGGAGAGGAGACTTGCATATTTCTTGGCTTTTATAAAAACCATAGCCAGATTTTACTGCAGCAGACCACAGCATTAGCCAACAGCCTTCATGCAGAAAGGCATTTAAGAGCAATAAATCCACCATAGAACAGCAATAGAAGTTATTTGAACGCTGATGAATGGCTCCAGCTAATCAAAAATGACAGGGCACAGAGCTGCGGAGGCCAAAACAAACCCAGAGTCCTTCATTTGAAGGGAGCGCAAACAGAGATCAGATTAAAAAAGGGCCTTTGAACTTGCAGAAGACTCACTCTGTAAAGGTGAAAGGTGTCACGCACACACAGGTTGACGTGTCTTTAGAGACAAAGCACTTCTTTACAAAGGGTAGAAAATTAAAACTGTGCTCCGCAACAATGGCTGCTCTGTGCCACCGAGGAGAGATCCTACATTCAGCGTGGATGAGTACGAGTCGTCTCCGCTGTGGTATCAAAAGGACAGATTACATGGTATGGGCTCTGCAGCTATAGAGAAAAAGATACAGAAAGCTATTATTACGACTCAGCCCTCCCTCTCTTCGGCTTTCATTCCTCTCCCATCACTTCCAGTAATGACTCCAATCTGTCTTGTTGCACATTTACCATGCGGTTCATCTAAAAATGGCAGACAGATGTGGAGGAAATCAGATGCTGTCACAGAGATACTGCGAGCCTCAAGAAGCATTTCTGCACCGCGCAAGATCCAAACGCTTCCCATCTCTACTCACTTTCAATTAAGACCTAAATCTGTCTTTAGGAAAGGCAATAAAGCTGACGTAAACAGTTTATACCACACGCCGCAGCTGATGTGTTTTACAGTAACCATATGAACAGCAGAATTTGAATTCGGAGTAATAAAATACCACTTATATTCTACTGCTGTTTGGGCGTTGGTCCAATAAACGGCCCTGCCAACATCGCAATGTTATTTTGGATGTAAAAAGTGTACGTCTGACACAGTTTGTCCATTAATCAAAACCATTAACTGTTTCGGTTGTCAGTTTGTTGGTTTCGGCTTGTAAAATATCAGGATTTTCTGCTGTTGCGCTGCAGCTGCTATATTGGCCTGATTTCTTTTTTTATCCAGCCTTTGTGTTCTGCGAAGGATATTTCTGCAGAATTCAGGAGATCGATTTTACACATCGACAAAGTTAGCTGACAATTAAAAGAGTGCTCTATTTCTGTGCCTTAAATCTCGGCCTCCACACGCCCTCTTTCCAAAACACTCCATGAGCGGAGCCTATCAAGAATCCCTGATTTTAGTTTGGTGTTGAGCTGCCGCATCTCGAACACATTCAGTCCAGTCTCACGACGACACTGCTGAGGATGCAGTGCAAAGAAACACTAGAAACAGAAACATTAAGTGCCAGCTGCTCCTAAAACGTGACTGCAAATGATCAGAATATCTCTAAAAGCAGAGAAGGATCCAAACTATGCTCAGGTTCGGTGATGACAGAGGAGCAAACGAACAAGGAAGAGAAACAATAATCACGGCAGCCAAAAGAAAACAGTGATGCAGTCCAGTGTTTAACATGTTTAAATACTCGGTGAAGACGGAACATTCAGTTTGACAACTGAACTAAATGAGCTGTCGTAATTAACATTCCTCGGAAACAGCGACAGATCGTATCTTGCTGTCCAATACTTAGCAACATGCTTCAACCTGAGGGACAGTGAATGTCTGAGATATACATAGAACACATCTGTCTCTTGTTTTAGTAGTCGACTTGTGCAGCATTACTGCAACACCTTCCCTGTAAGTCCTGTTATGGACACACGTCAAACACCATCTGGAATCAGCTTAAACTGTGTCAACATGGCGACCCGTCAATATGATTTTCATTTTAGAGCAAAGGAAGAAACCACAGGGAATCAAATCAGGTGATTAGGGCGGGTTGGGAGTGCCGGTTGTGTTTTGTGGCCTAAAAACCTGTTTGTAATCGTTTGTTACTGCTTGCACATGTTGCATGAACAAACAGTCAACAGAACGTTTTGATCAATCCCCGCGTATCAATCTTGCTGCTACTGTTATTGCGTGCTGTCCAAATCTATGGAAAAATGTTATTTAGATGCTTTGGCAGCATTGGGTGTTTGGAACTTTTGTCAATAAAGCCCCTTTTGAACTAAATGGAAATGTATCTACATATATGGCCAACATCACAATCCTAAAATTTACCTGTGGTACCTTAAACATCTAATGATTGATTGTTTTTGTGGTCTGTCATGCTTTTTAAGGTTTTTAATGTTTGGTTCAGTGCCCTATTCGCATTTCCTTCCAGCCAAGCTTCATATTTTAATGAGTGAAGTCAAAGGGAAGCATGGAAGTTAGTTTTGTCCCAGTAAGAAGGGCTTAAATCTTTTAGCAGCCTCGACCGGATGGATCCAAATAAATTTCAAGGGTGAAGAGAAAACTCACCCTTAACGGAGGATCGCCCTGCAGGTTGGGCTGGGACTTGAGGCGGCGTGTCACCGCTAACGGTGTAGCGGTAGCTCCCCGCGAGTTCCTCTTTACTTTCGATGTTGTAGGAGAGACTGCTGGTGTTACCGGGACTCTCCCCGATGAAGAAGGAGCTCCCTTGAGCTGTGACAAACGAGGGCTCGTCCGCGGCCGTGTGAGCTTCCAGGATGGGACTCGCGCTATCACTGGCATCTGTGTAATCACACTGTTGAGACACAAGAGGAAAGACTCGATGAGAATGTGTTTGAACAAAGAGAAAACAAGCAGACAGAATCATTTATCTGATCGCAGAGACCTGAGTGGCACTCCTGGTGCTCTGGGTTATATCGAGATGGTCGTCATCGCTGTCGGGCCTCGATGAACGGATCGGCGTGCTGCTGTAAGGAGCCGATTGGCCGGCCACCTGAACCACATGGTCACTACCACATTCTGGACAAATGTGACTTTTTCCTGGGAAAAAAAAGACAAAAAAAAAGAGATAAATTGTGGAAATTAGTCACCAAAAAGCTGCTCTCTTTAGGGGAAAATGCTCCCCTTGGGCTGTTGTAAGCGATTGTAAAGATTTATGGCAACACTTTGTATTGTTATATAGATTTTTTTCTACTCATTTGAAGTTTCTTCTCGTGCTTTACAAAAGAGACGTAATTTAAACTTGATATATATATATTTTGTTTAATAATTTACTCGGTAGAGAGAAAGAGAGAGAGAAAGGCAAAAAAAATCTCTCACGGAAAAGTACAAATGTGATGACCTGAAGACGGCACGAGCCGCTACACGAGGGCATCTTCGTAACAGTCGAGCCAGAACACGCCGCTGTAATAAAGACGCTTCAATCTGAGGAGTGTCTCGGTTTATAGAGATTATTTTCCTCTGCTAATTATTCTCCTTGTCAACAAAGAGCAACAAACCCAAATGACATTATCCACCAAGAATTTTTACATTTTTACAAGGATTATGTTACCTATGAAAATAAAATGTGAAGCTAAAAACGGATAAGAATTGCTTTGTGAAACTATTTCTCAAGATCATGTCGGTTCTGACAAGCAGAATACTGAATGACTGAAGACATACACGCATTCATTTCACAAGAGGAACTTTTTTTTTTTTGGCATCTGCAGGGCATGAGTTTCTGTAACGAAAGGCAAATAAACGTCTGCGTTGAGACACGTGCGACTGGAAAAGGTATTTATTGCCTGACTTCTCAGCAGAGCTGCAGACTAAGCACACGAACAAAGGAGCACGGTTCCAAAACATCCCCAGAACATGTCAGAAAAAAAAGAAAGGGTTGCCTGTGCATGACCAAGCAGGTCTTAATGTCAGGTTTGGTTGGATCGCTGGCGTGAAGGGTATTATCTGTCTCCTGCTGATTATAGAGGTGGGAACTCTGCAGAGTGGGCAGCTTGGCAATAAAAAAACCAACAGATAACTCCTGCGATGCTTCTGAAGCCACATTTTTGTTTTGTGAATCTGCGCGGACTGCCAATGGGAGCGAGACAGTCGGGGAGGAGCCGTGAAATTCTCTGACGTCAAGTGAAGCTGCCGCTTGCGATGTGTGACCTTGTCTCGTGTCTTGTCTTCAGTTTCTAACCACAAAGCCCACTGACACTGACTGAAAGCACCTAAGCTTAGAGCGAAAGCTTAATGCGCCTTTTTTTTTTGTTAGTTTTGAGGATTGTTTTCCGCTATTCATCTGAGGCGGTGCGTGACCCGGTTTGATGGATGAATCACAGTTTAAGCTGTGACGTGTGTGTGTGGGCTTCTTGAAATTCAAAGATGACAGATTTATGTATAAGCCAGACATCACCTTTTTTTCACCTTTGAGTTGCTGCTTAAAGGGCATCCTTTGTCCAAGAGTTTTTCCGAAGTCAACACTTAACATTTAGTGAATTTTTAAAAAAAGTTGCTTTAGCATTCATTACCTGCTGCTTACAACTTTTACCAACTGTATTGATAGTTTCACTTTTTTTAAACAACATTTTTGGATGGCAATATATTGTATCAGTTACTATTGTGACAGATTATCAATACACTGGCATCAAATATTGATATTTTTATGAAAACACACAGGAACCAGCAACGGATCCCAAATCAATTTAACCTACAAGAGTCGCAACTTATCAAGTGAATGAGGGTAAAATGAACTTCTAGTGAAGAAGGAGGGAAACTAGAGGGAGAGCAAATTAACTGAATAATAATAAAAACACACATTTGCACATTTGTAGTGAGTACATTTTCAACTCCTGAATTCGCCTTTAGCCTGATGCTCTTTTTCGTCTTTATATATCGTGATGTATTGCAGGTGACTGTCTTGCAATGCATCCACTGTAGCAGAATCGCTGCATTGTGATGTTATTATTGTAGGCAACGGATCACGACAGTCTTGTGAGTCACTCTGTAATTCGCAAAAGCACATTTATAATCTTGATTTTGCTGAATGTTGCTTTTTCCTGTGTGCAAATGTCATTTCAGCTTTTCAGAGCACCTTTAATATTACATAATTTTTGCTGATTAGCAGGGATTTAAAGGATTTAAAGGATAAAGCAATATTCAAAGACATAAACCAATATTGATTTTGCATCATAGGTGTGTTATATAAATGGAGCTCAAGCCTTTTCTTGTCTCCGTTTGTCAAGTGTGGCTTACAAGCTGACTGAAATCCCTCTTTCATCACCTTTGCCGTTGTCGTCGTAGTCCGTCGTCTCCGTCGGCTCCTCCCCGTCCTGCTCGTCCGCACCCTCCGGTAGCATCACGGACCCCCTCTTCCTCATTCTTCCTCCGGCCTTCTCCTCGCTACCTTCCGTCTGAAGGGTGAACTCTGACCTGCAGCGGAGGCACTGCAGACGAACGCAGCTGGGCCAGAGCTCGGCGTCGCGCCGTTGGTTTTCCTCGGCCACGCGAGACAGTATCTCAGTCAGAGCCTGGTCAGCAAACAATAGTCAACAAAAACAAAGTACCAAAGGGGGATTGAACTGCTGTTGTTGGGTAAAAAGTGTACACACTGACATAAGTTGGCAAACAGTGTTTCAACCTCAGCACATGAGATATACAAGTTTGCCTTTGAAAGCTTTATCTGGCAGGTAAGAAAGGACGCTGTTTGTCTTTTCAGCTGCAAACTAAACACTGTGGGAGTTACACAAAGGCCAGAAATCAGTGGAGCTTAAGAACACGCTGACAGGACATCATAGCTGGGAAAAAAAAAAAGCAATCCTGTAATCTAACTACCACCTACGACAGGGTCTGGAGCTAAAAAGGTGTTTATTTGGTTGTGTACTTTCCCGTTCAGTTACGAGTCTGTTTAAACACAAGTTCCCCGAATGAAAATAATCACATTGCGGCTCTCTCTGTTGCTTTAAGGACATATCTGGCACAGGTTCGATGTTGCACAATGCGAGGAGGACAAAACTGTAAACAAGGCAGTAAAGATGGTACAGACTGTACTACTGGGGGTCTATGTCACGGATAAAAACAAAAGGTAGCAGGGTATGAGGCCGGGACAGGCTGTGAGCATGACCAGACATGTACATCTACGTATATATCCTGCATATCATGCATGAGGGCAAATCTTCCCTCCTTTTGAAATTGCATAACCTTTGAGAGCCATTCTGTGCCATCTTATAGGATAAATTCCAAACACTCCCTTGCCATCAACACTCAAGGGTGTGTGCGTATGAATGGAAATGTGTCTATGAACTAACCTGCAGTGCGTGCTGCGGGTCATCATCGAGCAGGACGTAGCATCTCCTCCTTTTTTCCTTGCTGATGTAGTCAAACTGAAGCTCCACAGCTGGAAACAGCTTTTCTGTATCCTAGGAGAAAATCACAGTCCTTTATCAAGTCCTTAAGAACTGCATATTGGATCAAATTAGCTTGACATTGAACATTTTATGATAGATATCTATAGTTTGTGTCTTTAACTAATACTGTGTCTGAGCTCAAGGAGTTTCTGAGCTTTTGTCACAGTGGGCTCATTTTTTACTATAAAGTCCTGCACCCGAAGAAGAGAGGACTTCTTTTATAGTTATGTCATAAATTATCCATCCATTATCTATACACCGCTTAATCCTCACTAGGGTCATGGGGGGCTGGACTCCCAGCTGACTCAGGGTGAAGGCAGGGGACACCCTGGACAGGTCGCCAGTCTGACGCAGGGCCACACTTAGAGACAGACAACCAAGCACACTCACATTCACACCTACGGACAATTTAGAATCACCAATTAACCTCAACATGTTTTTGGACTGTGTGGGAGGAAGCCGGAGAACCCGGAGAGAACCCACGCTGCACGGGGAGAACATGCAAACTCCACGCAGAAAGATTCCGGTGCCCCCACCGGGACGTGAACCGGCAACCTTCTTGCTGCGAGGCAACAGTGCTACCAACTGTGCCACCTTGCAGCCCTGTCATAAATGATATATTTAAAAAAAAAGAAAATTGAATTTCTTTCATTATTAATTACACACTAAAAAATTCAACATGCATAAGTGTTAAAAAATGGTTGGTAAACATACGACCGATGTTTTACAATTTACATTTTTACAACCTTTTTGTGCAATGAACACTTTTAATCTCTTTCCATACTTGTCTCTTCTACCCTCACCAGCCATACAGCCTTCTAATTTTTGTCAAGTCATGACAGCTGAGTCGGTTTGGACTCTCAGTTGTGCTAAAGAGCGCAGATTTTTTTGTGTATTTTACAGAATGTGGCTACTGCAAACTGTTTATTTTTGGCAAATATGTAAATGAGACATGTAGAATGAAATGACTTGGATAAAATATCCTTCGATTTGGTTGTTTTTCCCAACAAAACCAAAAGTCACTTTGTCCTCTTACCCCTCGGGTCCACGCAGCCTCTATGGTGTCCACCCGGGCCAGGCTGTCCAGCTCCAGGCGGCATCTCTCCTGGCCGCACTGCACGTCCACCTCCAGCACCAGGCCTTGTTTGACTCGTAGGAACACCTCCCTTCTTCCCTTACTCTCCCCTTGACCTTCGTGGATTCCATCCTCTTTGTCGGAAAGGACACCCACGAGCAGGGGGTGACACAGGTCCACTGGCAAGACAAAAAAGAAGACACGGAAAAAGGAGATCAGAATCGCAGGAGCAACTTTTGTGCTGGTTTGGTTCCTATCGTCCTTAAAGCTGCAGATATGAGTAAACACATAAAACCATCATGTATGTGTGGTAAGATTTTTACAGCAACTTGTGTAATGGGTTTGAATATAATTTTTGTGGTTGGTTTAAGCAGATTTATAGGCAAGATGTGCACAGGAATAAATTATTGTCTGCTATTTGGCTGGTGTTTTGTACTTCTGACATTTAAGTCCATTATTGTCGATGTTTCACAATAAAAGCTTGAATTTTAACTCCCCCTACCTCCGAGGTCCTCTTCTTCTTCTGGGTTGGTGTCTCCACTCGCTACTTGAGTAGAGCTCTGGGACTCTTGGCTTGGTTGAGGTGAGTTACGTCCTCCCTGGCTGACCACGAGGCCATCGACCACGTTATCGTTCAAGGTGGATTCCTGCTGAGGGCTCTCATTGGGCCACTGCAAGGTGGAGTCTGTGTCGTTCATGTAAGGTGTCTCCCTTTTGGGTTCTGAGGGGGGAAGTGGTGGAGGGAGGACTTCCAGGGCATCTACGGACGCCGATGGAGATGGCTGCTGCCCAGAATTTGTAGGTGGACATGGGGTGGTGGTGGTGCTGAGGCCATTGGAGAGGGTCTGACACTGAGGGTCTGCTTGGTTTGTGCTGACAGTGGCGGTGATGGTTGAAGACGCTCCTCCATCTAGATGGTGTTGGTATCTCAGCCAGTCTTCCCCCAGCTGCTCCCTGAAGCTGGACATGCGCTCGATCTCCTCCTGGTGGGGGAGGGCAATAGCTGATGGAGAAACAACACGTTAACATTTATGCTTTAGGGATTTGTTCTAAAACAAGAAGAAATCTTATTTTGATAACAATAACCAACCCTGTGCGGAGGACAGAGGTCTGGGCTCGTAATCAGTGTCACTGGGCTCGGAGATGCTGGCCCTTCGCACTTTCACCTTACTCTGAAACACAAAATTAACTCGCAATCAAGCATTTCGGTTTGATTGTGTCCACCACATGTATGCACTTGTGAGTTTATATGACGATAAGAAGCTGAACAGAAGATTTGACATGCACAGAGAAACAATAAAGAAACATCACAGAGCAGCATCACTCTCTCACCCGAGATTTTTTCTTGCGCAAGTTCGAGACCCCGACTTCTCCGACGGACACGCTGTCACTGAGCTCCCCTGCTCCGCTGGACACGTCTTGGTTACTCCGGTCGGATGGCACAGCAGCGGTTGACGGCAAAGTCTGGGCCTGGACGATCAGCTGACCTGGTTTTGGCAGAACCTGCAGAGAATGGTGGGGTTATATTCAACATTTGCTAACACACACAGCACACGTACAGCATATATAAATGTAGATTTTTTTTCTTTTGATGGATCTGGATGTCTTCTGCACATACAATTTATGATTACATGGATTTACAAGTTGTTATGAAGAAATGTTTGGTATCAACTTTTAAAATAGATTTGACAAAGAGGCTTACCGATAACTCAGATGAGGACAGCGGGGTACCATCAAGCCTGAGCTGGAGAGAAAACAGAAAAAGAACATGTGTGACTAAGTAGGAATGAAACAATCTGAAAAGAAAATAGATGATGCCATTTTCGTAAGGGCTGCAGCGTCCAAATGATTACTGGCTGCACAACTATCAGTGTTGCTTTTATATGGGGAAAAAAAAATCACTGCATCAACAGCTGTCCAGGATTAATCCACATTTTTGGCAGCAGGAGAACCAGAGGACCTGCGTTTTCACAACTTTGAACTCAACCGAACTAATGGAGGCTGCTAGGTCGAACTATTTAATGTTTACTTATTCGGTTGAGCTCCGTGTCAAGGAGAACATTGTGTGGCTGCATTTTGTGAAAACAAATGCTGGAGTATAAACGGTATGAACAGCATTTTTGCATATCTCAGCTCAACATCCAACATTGCGTATCACCTGAAAGCAGTTCTTTAAATCATATGAATGCTCCAAATCTGTATTTATCCTCTGCGTACAAAACACAGAGGTTAATATGCTGCAAACACGAGCTACGACAGATGACCACAAGCTAGTGGAAGTCTGCAGTGCAACCATGTAGAAACACCTTTAATTTCACACATGGTTGACAGGAAACACGTGTGGCGGCTGCACTTTCACACAAATGCAGACATAAAGCTTTTGTTGATGGAGAATACAGTCTCAGTTTAATTCAGCAGCTTCCACTTCTGCTTCAGCTCGTTTTTCTAACAGTGCTGCTGCTTTATTAAAACGAATGTCCACACAGGACTCTTTCATTATTTTTAAAAAAATACTTCAACATTCTGCTGATGATATATACGTATCTAATTACTTACCCTGAGGCTGGGAACCTTTGGCGAGAGATGTCGGACGGTGCAAACGCGGTGGGCCTTCTGGAAGTACAGCGGGTTTCCCTCCAGGTTAAGCTGCAAGAAGATATTTCACTTTATAATGCTTTCCTTTCACACATGAAGCAATTACCTAAATGAAATAAATGCGTTGAGTCAATATGATAGCCTCTGAGGATAAATCTGAGTGTTCTTACTGTGTTGAGGCAGTGCAGTAAGGAGAGAGGAGCCAGCTGGGAATGCTCCAACAGGAGGTTGTAGGCCAGGTCTAAGTGCTGGAGCGAAGACAACTGCTCCACACCTGCTCCAACCGGAGAGTCCAAAGCAACGCAGGAAAGGACACAAGATCAAGAACGCTGGATCGAAAACAAACCTCGTGTATCTAATTTGATTTTCGTGCAGGTGTAAGGTTATCTAATGCTTCGCTGTGTGGTGAAAAACAATATCCAAGATAAACACAAGGACTTCCAAAACAGTGGGAGGTGTGGATTCCTGTCAGAGAAAGTCTGCAAGCTCCATTTTTCAGCTTGCGCTTCAGCATGGTGGTCAGCTTTTCTATGGTTCCATTTCTCAGTTTACATTGGCTCACTTCTCTATCGGCTCTATGGTTTCGTTGGCTGACCTCTTTGTCTCGACTGTTGGTCTGCGTGCAAAGAACAGGATGAGAAACTGTATGACTGATGTCAGTCCGCCTTACCGTTGATCGTTTCCAGTTCGTTATTCCTGAGGATGAGCGTGAGGAGCTTGGCTTTGGCACTCGGACCCAGCGTTGGCGCCCTCTGCAGGCAGTTGTAGCCCAGGTTCAAGTGTCTTAACTCACTTAAGGGCTGCGAGAAAGAGAGAGCGATGAGAAAACGCCACAAACAAGGGAATTCCAGTTTACCTCCTTGTATCCTACCTTTAGAAATTCAGCACACTCCTGAATCTTGTTATGGCTCAGATCCAAAGATTTCAGGACATTCAGTAAACTCTAGAAAAGATGCAGAGAAATACATCAAGGAAAGTTACCAATAGGTCACTAATGATGCTACTGTGTGTTTGTTTGTCTCACTAGTGACTGGTCAAGGCAGACGATGGAGTTGTAGCTGAAGTTGAGGGTGTGAAGTTCCAGCCAAGGCAGTGCAGAGCTCAGGTCACCTCCACACAGAGAAAGTAGCTCCTAAAAATCAAACCGGACACACAAATGATTAAGTCTCGGTGTCTCTTTTTAGCCACACATAGCTAACAAATGTGCTACAGGCTGAGAGCACCTCCAGGGAGCTGAGGCTTTTGGAGCAGGTAAAGACTTCCAACTGGGAGTAAACCCCTCTGAGGCCTTCCAGACAGTGTGGAGGGATTCTCTTCAGCTGGTGAGGAACAAAAAGATAGAAAGTGAAGCTGAGTTATAACATGAATACTGATATGGGGGGGAAAAAAAGGTGCAGGATGTAGTGTTATTGTATTACCTCCAAACACTTCAGAGACTTGAAAGGGAAGATTTTCACCACAGACTGTAGTCTCACGTCTGGCGGGTTGATAAGCTGCAGAGGAGACACAATAAAATCAGAACTCTGAGAAGCAGCAGAGTGTATAAGCATTTGTCACAGTGGTTCACATCTGTAATCAAGCACAATACCATTTGAGGACAGTAAAAATGTCAAAAAAAACCCTACGATTTCTCCTCCAACTTCAGGACCCAATTTTAAAACACAAGCAACAACTTAGAAAGTTTTTTCCAAAACAAACTTTTTCTGAGGCTGGAACAGCCGACTTAGTTTTTATTAACCACAGTCCACCTTAAGGGAGACGGTCTTCTGCAGAATGTCGAAGAGGAACTGCAGCTGCAGCAGGGAGTCCGTGTCGGCGGGGTGGGAGGCCAGCGCGAGGAACCCATGCTGCTGGCTCCTGGACTGCAAGTTACGTTCAAACAGCCGGGTGAGCTGCTGCAAGCTGTCAGCTGGTAGGGTGAGCGTGCTGCTGCCGTCCAGCACCACATCACCTGGAGGGCAGATGAGACAACTCGTTTAAATCTAACAAGCACAGCAAGCAATTTTCATCTTGAGCAAATTATTAGTGGTTGGTTAGTTCTCGCAAAATAAACCGAAATTACAAGATCAAAGAAGTATTTTCTAACGGACATTTGGTGGCTTAGGAAAATGAAAGCAGGTGGAAAAAGAAGCGACGGACACAAAAGGTCTTATGAGGATTTTTTTGAGCCATACTGCGATTTGATTTGCAATTTTGAAGTCAAGCTTCAGTTCAATATTCAAAACCTAACAGATTTAAAACACATGCATGCATTACCAAAGAAGATTACATCAAAACTGTCACACAAAGAGGACGGCACGACTTTGTAAAATCATTGACACAACAATTTAAACCTTTGACACACTGCGTAACATCCGTCTTAAACTGCAGCCTTTGTGATTTGCTAGGAAAGGACAGAAATAATTAGAGCCCCACTGATATACCGATCGGACGATATTGCTGGTTGATCTTCGTCTGTCACAGATATGTGGGTATCAGCATATATGAGAAGCTGTGTCATCACACAGTTTGTCCAGCAGATAAGCCCCTACTCCATTTTGTCCAAGACTTTCTGCAGCACATGTAGCAGAGTACGCGTTGAAGCTGAAGAAACGGTGGTGCAGAGCCAAGTTTGTCTTCACGATAAGCTCCTAAATAGTTTGTGTCATACATTGCTGGAATATTAATAAACGATGACACCATAATTTTCCTATTTCAGTTTAATTCTAACATACAAATAAACAATATTGGACATATATCAGAATTTCTTGCTCCCTAAAATCAGCTCCAAAACTCCAGTACTGGCCAGACTCTAGATATAATAACACAATCCACTTAGTTAAAACATTTCTGTAATATTATCTCTGTTCAATTTTAACGGCACAGACAAATTAAATCAAGTGATTGCAAGACGGCAAACAACTTTACAGTGTCTGCACCTGCATCAAACTCACTTTTAAATGACTTTCAATCAAATCTAATAAATCACTACACTGTGATGTTTAAAATCAAGCTTTCCCATAAAGTTCTACTGCTTACATTGTCTTAATAAGTTCCTGTCTGAGTAAATACACCCACTAACCTGAAGCACCAGTTACTGTTCCAGCCCTTGTCATCCAAAGGATTTAGTGTATAACTATAGTAGAGGTATAAGTGAGTTTGTGTGTCTGTCACTGCAGCATACCGTTACTTCGGAGGAGTGTGGCCAAGCTGTGCACAAGGGAGGACTGGCCGGTGGAACATGCAGCCATCCTGTAGCATTTTAAACAAGAGATAAGGTCAAGACAGAAGTAGATTTTACTGTTTGCTTCTGTGGAAAAAGGAAGTTACTCGCCCTAAGTGCACTTCAGTTTGTCACTTAAGCTCATTTTAGTTAAGTAATTGACAATAATAATAAAAAATAACAACGCATTTCCCCCCCTTATAAACATTTTGTTATTGCCGGTGCGTTAGCTAACATTAGCATTCAAAACTCTGCCCTACACCTGCTGCGGCTAGCGCTAGCTCCTGCTAACGTTATGTAGCCGACTAAATTCCGCGGCTGGCTAAGCTAAACGGCGCACCTGCGCGGTGACAGCCCCAAAATGAAGAGCAAACATCAAGGTCTTACTTCGACAGGTGAGTGCTAAAGCATGTTCACTTGTGTAGACGAAGAAAAGCGGCGTTTCAGGGGTCGTTTGTTGGTTTCATAGTGCAGCGCACAGTGATGTTGACATTTTTTTTGTTTTTTTTTTTACAGTCACATGACGAGGATTTGGCGAAAGACGCTACGGTGGCCCCGACGTACCAAAAAGCACAGTCACTCTAATAAAATCGCTTTTTAAAATTCCCTTTACATACGATTAAAATACAGTATATAACATGTTATAGCTTAATTTTGCTTAACCCTCTCTAAATATCTCTAAATAAATGATTGACATTTTTTTTCCAGTTTTATTTAAAGGGCTATTTACACATAAACTTGGGTAATGATTTTAATTATGATAATTTTCTGGAGATTTAAATTTCTGGATAAATTTAAATGTCAGTAAATTGAAGGTTGAAGGTAATAGAAGGGTTAACTCGAAAATGTGGAAACTAACCTACATGAACTAAAAAAAATGCCCTTCTAAGTGTGTTTTTCTCTACAAAAACTTATAATAAATGCTGCCTCAAGTTAGAATTCAATTAATTTCAATTCAGATTTAGTTCTACAGCACCAGTTTACAAGACAAGTCATCTCAAGGCACTTTAATAATAGGATGAAGACTTTACAGTAACCAAAAAAAATCAAAGAATTCCCTTGAAGCTGCTCTTTGACCATAGTGGGAAGAAAGAACTCCCAGCTCGGAGAAGGCGGTTATCTGTCTGAACAGTCAGAGTGAGTTTAAACAATGGAGAGAACACAATAGGAGGTAGATATCAGACTAACAATGGATTAGAGAACAGTAAACGCGAGGGAGGTTGGTGAGCCCTGTAACCACAGATCAGAGATGTGTGGCTCTGCAGCCAGAGATATTTGCAGAGAAAACGAAATACAAGCTAAAGCAGGGAAAAGACACAAAGCTTGTGTCATGCAATATGAATAAGGGATGGTTTAGAGTCAGCCATGATAGGACCTTCATCAAAAAGGAATGTTTTCAGCCTAATCTTAAAAGTAAAGAGGGTGTCCGCTTCCCAAACCCAAATTGGGAGCTGGTTCCACAGCAGATAGCTCGACTTTTGGAAACTCTAGGAACCACAAGTAAACCTGCACACTGACTCTAATGGTACTCTCATGGGATAATATAATATTTAAGACACAATGAAGCTTCGTCATTGCATGCTTTGTATGTGCAGGATTTTACATTCTATTGTGGATTTTCAAGGGAGCCAATGATGGGAAAAAAAGCTAATATGGGAGAAATATACATTCATCCAGCCCAGAAATGACATATGCAACGACTAGTTTATCAGCATCATCCTGACACAAGAGGTTCTTCATTCTGATCATTGCATTTCCATGAACATCTGCATCACTGCGTTACAAAATCATACTGAATAGATTTCGGTGCTGCTGCTGCAGATGACCACTAGGTGGCGCACTCTAACAAGAAGCAAAAACTTTACATGGATGCGAATGAAAGTAACCAGCAATGATTCATTATCAATTTCACCCGTTCACACTGTAGTTGCAGTTGCATCTATCTGATTTTACTATGTTGTCATTCAAAGGCAAATAATAAGGTTTATTTTATAAAACCAGGTGAAGTGATTCAAATATTGCCTGTATGAGCCACGTAAAGGTCAAACCTCAACTTTTATGCCTCCAACATTTGAAAACCAAAGCAGCAAGACACAGATTTTATGGTAACGGAGGTTTTTAATAAATGTCAGCTGTCAAATTTACCAACCTGAGACTTTACCACATTAGCCTGTTGGCAGATGTCGATCTAACCATATCCTAGTCATGGCACCAATAAAAAAACAGAGCCTGGCGGTGCAGGGCTGCATAAAGTGTACTATTTTCTGAATAAAGCCAGTTAAACAGGTTTGATTTTAATTAGAGCTGCATTAGCACAAACCTAACTGTATTGAAAAATAGCCTGCAAGCTTGTTTGTAACAAAATAGTTGATTTTATGTTAATGTGGTGTCGTTAAAACCGGTTAATGACAGTAGAAAGAGGATTTTTAGAGGACTTTAGAGACTAGAAGGCCGATGGATCTATTAAATATAATATGTGAAGACTGTGAAGGTTTCAAGTTTGTTGCAGGAAAAACCATAATGTCTGTATACTATGATACAATCAGCATATTACCAGGTTGAGAGCTTTAGCTTCTGGCCTCTAAAAGTGCAAACCTCTGCATTAACTCACCACATGAGGAGAGCAGTTCTCAGCCGGTCTTTATTTTATTTTATTGGGGGAATACGTAACACTGTGGCTTCATAACAGATACTTCGCAACGATTTGCATGAGCAAATAAAGCAAGAACTTTCCTAATTTGCACATGCATCACTTGTTGCTAGGCAGCAAACAAACACAGTCACACTTTGGCACACACACACACACACACACATTTTGCACACGCACACACATAAGCATTTTTCCATTTGGGACTTGTGAAGCGAACATTTCCATGTTAGGATTTATGTACTGTAATTTGGTAAACATTTCCATTCAGTGAGATGTTGCACATTTCGCTCGCTGGAGGAACTGTCATGCACAGTTGGTTGACTGTGCACGCACGAAAACGAGTTTTGACAGTCAGTTTGCAACAAAATGAAGTCATAACCCAGCTGCTGTAAGTGTGACCTGTGTTTTTATTTTTTTTATTACGATCCCGGCCCACTAATCAGATGATATATGACTTTCCCAACCCCCTCCCCTCTACTCATTGCTTCTACTTATCCAATCAGTTGTCCAAGCAAAGGGAACCTTAATTAAGTATAATCAAAGTCAAACACTAAACAGTGCACTCATTCATTGTCACAGAGCCTTCAGGGACCTGCTTCAGTTGATAAGAACACAGCAGAGCCAAACTTACATGAATAGCATTACTTCTTTTAGGAATATGCATTTCAGATTTAGAGACAGTTGTTTGGTCCTCGAACACAAGGTAAAGTGCATTTTAAGGACACTACGCTCTTTGAGGCTGTTGAAAGGCCTGCTGTGAGGCTTACCAGCTAAAAAAAATTAGCCTGGATGAAATGCAGCATTACACACATGAACTGCATGCTTAGTGGTTTATGTCACCACTGGATTGATTAGGATTTGAGTATTTCGTCCATTCTGAGAGGGAAGTGACACTTAGCGTCGTACGATCAGGTTGATATAACTCCTTCGAAGGCCTACAAATGCATTATAAAAGATGAATCAAGTGTTTATATACTGTATAAATACGCCGATTAAATTGAATTTCACGCAGCGCTTTTGGGGACATGCTGTACTGTAATTAAGCAGATGAAGCCTTGCATACAATACTCTCTCTGTACACACACACTGAGGCGCATATGCTGCATGAGTCCATCAGTGATCCCATACCTTTCTCTATCAATGTGGAGTTTATCCAGAGTATGTGTTTGCTTAACAATTCCATGGGGAGGAATTTAAGTAACTGACCTTGGTGGGGATTACTTCGCACACATGGGCAGATACTGCGGCCTGTTAGGCCTATTAGCTGGTGGCCATCCCAGACACAAATCCTCGCCCCCAGGCTCATATTTATAAAATGCCAGGCCTTCTCTCCCGCTGCTTTTCCATCCATGGTTTCATAAAATGACATATGAGGTTCTATGTGCAAACAGCCCTCTGGGCATCCTCCTGACTCACACCCCTGAGATACAAGACAGCTTCAAATGTGCCCTTTCTCCCTCTCCACGCCCCCAAGGTGAGCGAGGGATGCCGTTCGTGAATGGGGCCAAATAGTATTAAATCAGGGGGCACCCACAAAACAAAATAATCTGCATTTATATCTGCGGAGTAAGGTTACACATGCCACTTCTATTCCTGGGCCCTTGGATAAACACCTATTAGTCTGCTGCACTGGACGGGGTTAATAGGAGCTTGTTCGGTGGGCAGGCACGACACCTCAAGGCTTGGCCTCACCGATCGATAGGAAACATTGCTGTATACGTGCACAGTAGCATTACTGTACGCCGACATATAAGCCGGTAGCAGCTGGCAACTTTTAATTGAGTGTCAATGGACATGTCAGCCACGGTGGGGAGGTCTTTCCATGTAAGGAATGCTCCGCACATAGTCCTTTTGTTTGTTTGTTTATTTATTTATGCATTCTTGGAGCCGGGGCAGACGGTGCTGATTGAAACAAACAGGGCCACAGTATGTAGCCTATAGTGATGCAGAGCGAGGGAGCTGTGATTCACTACGGTGTAGAAGATCTGTTCAGCATTTGGGGAGCTTTAGGAAGAAAATAAAAATCAATAATCACCTTTAGGAAACTCCTTTTCCTGCGATATGGCCACGGAAAGGTTAAGGGTCAGCTGGGGAGGAGCAGCGGAGGTCGATTATGAGGAAAGATCATTTCTTTTATCTTGTTATGATAAAAGAAGACAAAGAAAGAACCTTAAGTTTGATGATTTAATACAATATATGCACAAGAATTAGATCATTTCCCTCAGTGTTCATGTATCTGATCAAACTCTAACAGTGACACAGCCTTCTTTGGACTATGAGGGGAAAATACCTTTTTTTTTTTTTTTTCCCTTCTCCTTAAATCTGTAATCATTCTCATTAAAGCAGTTTAGCAAAGTGGAAAGTCATTAACACTTCATCTGCAGTCAGTAGCTGCTCTCACTTTAACTCCTTCACTTCTGCTGCTGCTGAGACATTATTCTGAGGATTCATCATTAAAGAAATAAAAGGAGAAAAGCCTTGAAATCTTTCTGTTTTTTCCCCCCCTCAATTAACACCCATCTGTGGCCCCGAGAGTAAACCTGGGAATTTGTAGGACCCAGCAGACCTCCAGCCCCCGGCTTCACCTGTTCGCATGCACATTTCTTCCCCCTTTTTTTTTTTTTTTTTTTCCACTTGGGATTGCCTTCCATCGCCCCATGATAATGACCAAAAACCTCATGCCTCTAACAATGCTGTCGTACGCGGGCTGCAGCTTGCTGATCCTCTCCGCGTCGCTCGCCGGTGCCTCGCTGGCCGAGATGGTGTTCCGCTGCCCGGGCTGCACCGCGGAGCGCCAGGCGCTGTGCCCAAAGCTCACCGAGACGTGCGCGGAGATAGTGCGCGAACCGGGCTGCGGGTGCTGCCCCGTGTGCGCCCGGCAAGAGGGCGAGATGTGCGGCGTGTACACCCCGAGGTGCGCCACCGGTCTGCGGTGCTACCCGACGCCCGACTCGGAGCTTCCCCTGGAGCAACTGGTGCAAGGCCAGGGCCAGTGTCGGCGCAAAGTGGACACCGAGACGACCACTTACAGCCAGGAGCACCGGGAGCAAACCAGCGGTCAGTCAGTCAGTCGCTTTCATGGAAATCTGGTTTTCTTCTATCAATTTTTAATGACCCTGTCTAGACTGCAGCCTCAGGAATAGTGTAGAGATATTGCATTGTCATGAAGGCACAGGGAACTTCTATCCACCAAGATATCCCATCATAGAAATATCTGCAACATTTTCATGCATATTATTTAATTCTAAGCCATTGTGCAAGCACCTCCCTTTTGCAGAAGTTTGCCAGCATTTTGTGAGAATGGTGCATTCCTCCTGTCCCTTTTTTTTACAAAATATTTTCAAGTGTGTGGAATTTCTTGACTGCAGCAATAACAAATTTGAAGCATGTTGCAGGAGAGAGGAGCGAGGAGAGAGGAGGAGGAGGAGGTGGTTGGAGGGGGTAATTCTGTGTTTCGCAGACCTGTTTTAAAGTGCTGTGAGTCATCCTGGTGTGCACGCAGAGAGAGCAACAAAAGGAACAGCCCAGTTAAAACTCAGCTGTGCCGCAAACAGCTGGCCCCTTCAACTCTTTCCCAATATCCCCCTTGCCTTTTTAAAAACGCTGCAAAGATTCTCAGAAGTTGCACTCGGTGGGGATGGACACAGAAAACATTGTAGTATTGATGTTGACATTTCCACAGGGGGAGTGGAGAGCAAGGAACAGAGAGAGAGTAGGGAGAGACAGCAGGAGGAATGCCGCATTGATTGGAAAACGTGGACTTTAGGCTTTGACCAACTATAAACCGGTGTTGACAGTGACTGCATTAACCTGGTTGTCTACCTGGAAAAAAAAAGCGAGGCAGGGATGTATGTCACAATGAAGCTTTCGTGTGGCCCGGAGCCAGCCGGGGGGCTCATGTGGTTTGTGTTTAAACAGGGACAGGTCACAGTGAAGAAGAAAAGTAAACAGCCTCATTAACTGGCTGATTTTTTTGAGGCTGCAAACACACACACACACAGTCAATGAGTGTCCAGTGGAGCCAGCCGGGGTGTGATTTCTACTCATTTCCAAATCCGTGCTTTGTCAGAGTTTACCTCCAGACTGACACGTGTTTATTTTGGCACCGGAGTCCTGGAACGTAGAGAAACTACCGGAGACGGCGTTCAGTGTAACCCCTGTTCTCTGTAAGGACTCGATCGCACGCTGACAAAAGGTCGAAAAACACTTCATGATCTAATAATCAACCATGATAATTCCTTAATTGTACATTTATGTAACCTAACAGCCGAAGGAATAAAGCGAGGCATGAGCTGCAGAGTTACATAAGACCAAAACAAGACATGGACACATCATGTGAAGGCTTGCTTGCAAAATTGTTAGATGTCACTGTTTTGTTTTTTTTTTCTTCCCCCTCCTTCAGGTCAAGCCGGGCTTCGTCTTTGCAGGTTGAAAGGTCTGAGATTTAATTAGACGCGTCCAAAAAAACAGTAAAAGCTTAGAAATTGGCTCTAAAAGCTGAATGTTGTTTTGGATAAAAGCCTCGCTGCTGCTGCTGCTGAAGAGAGAGTTGCAGTGAGTGGTCTGAGTGAAGTGCAGAGCTTTGGCAAGGTCAAAAGATAAAAGAAAGATTTCAAAAGAAAAAGAAGAATGAAAGTAAGGCCTCAAAGCTTTCTCCCACTTGGAGATTAATTTTAAAAATTCACTCCCATATTGCTCCACTTCCCAACAGGTTCCCAGGCGGTCTATCCACCTCATTTGTGTCAGTTGTTCCACATGGTCAGGTTGAGACTACACAATCTAATGAATTTAGCAGCAAAAAAGAGGAAGCAATAAAAACTCCTGATAGAAATCAGCTCCTCCGAAGAGCAAACTTAATACGTCCTGGCCGCCGTCCATCGCGTCTCCTTTATTCCAGGAATTAATCTGTAAATTAGAGCTCGCAATAATAGAATAACTAAGTGGTTGTGTTTAGCTGAGCGGTGACTCCGGAGCTGATTTGACACCTGGGCAATGAATCACAGAGTGAAATATTGCAGCTGCTTCACTTGGAGGTTTATAAACAGACTACATCCTGACTGTCCTCTCTTCTTCTTCTTCTGGCGTGTTTCATTCCGGCCTCTGAAAAAAAGGAACAACAGGCGTCTTCTTCCAGGCGCGCACACACACACACACGTGAGAAGAATTGATCCGATGGCGGTTTATCCGACGTTGCATTGACAGCAGCGGCAGAATCCCCGTAAATCCCTTGATCAGCAGAATAAGCGAAGGGGCCGAAGGTCGAGGCCGATACTTCTTTCACCCCAGAAGAGAACCAGAAAAAGAAAGTGAAGTTTAAAAAGGTAGAAGGGAAATGAAGGAACTATAGGCAGAAAACAAACAAAAATCTTATGACTTATGTGTAAAACGGCACAATTTCTGTGCCTTTCTTTCCTGCAAAAACACACCCAGCACAGTAGAACAGAAATAGTGCAGCAGCTCCTTCATTTAGCATTTTGCCTGTTTTTACTGAAACTCTAACGGCTTATATGTGGTCGAACTGTGTTGGTTTATATTATATTCTCTACCACAGATGATCTTTGTTCTTGTTTTAATAGTATGGCAAACAAGCATCATTTAATTTAAGGATGAAAAGGAAAATTTAAATTAAGGATCTGTTTGACAAGAGCGAGCAGGTTGCAGGAAAACATACACAATACAATTTAAATAAGATTTACAGGTGCGTTACAGTGTGGTAAAATGTATGTCACAAGCCATCAATGCTAAATGATCAGTCATAAGATTAACATCTGGATGTGCCCAAGTCTTACGAAGTTGCTTTGAATTTATTTAGTAAGATCAACTCTTTAAGGCAATTTTGCAACTATTCCAAGTCAATGCAGCAGTGTAGTTAAACGTCCATTTCCCCAGTTTAGTGCAGGCTCTTAGAAGAAGTAGCAGGAATGAGTGCTGGGAATGAAGACAACAGCTTTTCTACACCTGTAGATGAGATGAAACCCTCTGAGAAATTACTGATAATTTTTTTATAATAGACTCACATTAGATTTTGCTTTTTCAGAAGAAAAAAGATGTTTGAACTCAACTTTTATCAGATAAGTTTTAGCAAGTAGTAGTAGTATAAGCATGCCTGCAATAGGTTCCCTCATCAGTTGACGTCTTCTGTCGATTTATTTTGCTCAAACGACAATCTAAAACTCAAAGGTATTGAGTTTATATTCTTGGGTGATATAGAAAAGCATTTGAGAAACAGAAAGCAGCTTTTTTTTGGTCAGTTTTGCTTGAAAGACGATTAAAACAGTGATGATAACTACAGATGCACAGTGATATCAGCATCATCAGGGGCATTGACTGACTGAGACTTTAACCCTCTGAATCCTTAAAGTTTGAAAAGCATGTTTTCAAATGCCAAAAATGTCACAATTTAACAGAAAGAGCAGTCAGATTTTTAACTTTTTGGTGGTTTGAACTAACCGTGTGTGTGTGTGGTTCTGTTGTGTGGAGCAGACTTTAAGCTTAAAGCTGTGACACTGCTTGAAAATTGTTGTGTCCTGAAAAAAACGAAAAAAATCTGCATTCCTGAGTCTAACGCTGAAACTATTAGCGACTCAGCTGCTCGAGGGCTTTTCAGCTGAACTGCAGGCTGTGTTTACGCCTATCAGACATCTATGGAAGCAAA